TGATTGGACCTTTAATTATAATAGTGTTTTACTCTTGCTTATGTATAACGTACATTGAAAATACCTTTCCTTCACTCTATTTACCTAACGAACATATTATAACACTTCAGAATATTTGACAGCATTATCACTTGAAATACCTTTAAACAGTAGTCATAGCAACCAAAATTTATTACAAGTCACATATGTTTATATGGCAGACATTATTACTCTCAATATGTCTTAATGTTTTTAGCAATACAAACTTGTATGACTTTTGCGGAAATTTTAAACAAATGGTAATTTATTAATTGTATTTCAGATTTAACAAAAGAATATCTATATTCTGTATAGAGAATATCTCAATTTTACGAATATATGTGCAGCAAGGCTGTCCCGCACATACTTTGGTATATTTCTACCGATATCGTGTGAATCAGTCTCACTAGCTTAGTAGGAACGAAGGCCTACGATGCATGTCAGGAAGGTTTTTTTAAACCAGGCTCATTTTGTTCTTGAATGTCTAAATTTGAAAAAAATCTATGTTCCCAGAAAATCAAGGGTTCCCACGTTGTCCAAATTCAAGATGGCCGCCAAGATGGCCGCCAAAAATTTAAGAAAATACCATTTTTACTTAAAATACAAATACAACACTTCATTTTCACATTTTAAATTCATTTATTCATCAAGATGATCGGAATTACATAGAATTCCTGATATATAAGCAATTTTTTTACTTTAAAAAGCATAACTTTTTGAAAATTGCCTTAAAATATGCTTAAAAGGGGTAAAAAACGTGTTTTTTTTTGCATTTGGCTGGTTCCAATTCGGCTCAGAAAATTATTTAACCTCTTATACAATATTTTTTCACATTTTTTTACAGATACATGATAAAGAATTTGAAAAAAAATATTTAAGTCTAGATAAAAAGTTAAATTTTAGTTTAAGGGACTATTTAAGTGGGTGGGGTAAGTGCCATCCATTTTGTGAAAAATACGCCATGTACTTAAAATACATCAAAAAGTATATAGGTCTTCTACAGCAATTTCTATGCATGGTTTTAATCATTCTTGAGATTTCCTAATCTATTTTTTAGAAATTAAAGGGTGCAAACTTATTTTTTCACACATTAAGGTGAACTTTTTGCCTTAAAAATGGCCGAAAATTTCATTTTTTAATGAAAAGCCCATCTCAATCTTACCTTAAAATTGCATAAATGCTCATTAAATTGTTCAGTTTATCTTTAATCATCAAAATACAATAGCATACAAAGATATAAATATTTTTAAAAGTACAGATGTCAGATTTAACAAAGTGCAGCATAAAAAGTGGGTGGGGTAATTACATACAATTACATGAAAAAAGTCAAAACCTGCATAATTTATATATACAAGTTATGGAAGTCTTCTCTGTCAATTCCAAAACATTATTTATCTTTCTTGTGACATTTCCATATTTTCTCAGTAATTTATTAGAAGTAACAATTTTTTTTAAAACTTAAGGTTAACGTTTTGCAGCAAAATTGGCAAAAACACATTTTTATGGTAAATGTCTCTTAATCGCGGGAACGACGACTTATTTCTTAATTTACCGTAACTCTCAAAATGTTCTTCCATATATCGTCCAATGTGAACATACAACAATAAAATGAAGAAAAGACATTCTTAAGACATTCTTAAACAACAGAATATGTCACATTTAACTGTTCACAATGCCCATCTCTAAAAGTGGGTGGGGCAATAATCACCAATGAAATAAATACATAGATACACAGTTATTCTCGAACAATTCACAATGATGCTTTTGACCATTAGTTAACATGTTTGTATACTTTAGTATTAATAGTGCGAGGGGATATTATACAAACTACATTTTCCTCATTTCGTTTTGTGAGGATTTAGGAACTTATCAATTTACGTGAACTTTTTAATAATTAAATGTAATGTTGACACATTGTAAAAAAAATAATAGAAAATACCCTCAGTTGCATTATATAATTACATTCATGGGGATCAAAATCTATTTCTGAAACGTTCGGATTATAACTATAGTAATTAATATCAGTAAGATGTTGACTCAGCATAACACAATATCTTACAAATACACTGAGTAGAAACAAAGAATTCATTAACGTGCCATACATTCTGATTATGACAGCTATATTCATTCGTCTGAAAAGACAGACAATAAATACAAATCCACAGATTTATAAAAACACAATCAACTCAATTGGAAGTATAACTATCACCAATCATCTCACTACATAACTAATCTCCCACAAAAGTTTACGGTTACTGAATGTCACTCATCATCATCTGACACTGAAATTTCTAGACAACCATCATCATCTTCTTCTTCCATCTCTGCTTGAACATTTTCGACTAGGTCAACTAACGTTGGTGGAAGAATGGGACCCTCAGCCCACAATGGTTCTAACACTTCGTTCTTTTTGGTCCACCCTTGCCCTTCATCATGTGGTTCCGGATGTTCTATCACTGGTGTATGAGCATTTTTCAAGATGCCGAGACGATGGTTGACTCTTCTGATGTGTTGGCATAAATTATCCTGGCAAGGTGGCAGTTTGGATAATTCCACCTTTGACTTCATGGTCAGCTGCCTGGGATTAGTGATCGCGTCACTGCAATGCCCCCTTTCTGTAGTAGTTCCTTTGCCCCAGGATGAGTAAGATCTATGTTGGTGAGAAAAACCTCAAACCATGTCAGATACCTGCAATGATAAACGAATTTCATATTTAATAATTATAATTTCTTTCATCTAAAATTTATTAATATTTATCAAGGATCATTTGTATTGAAATTGTTGTTGATCACTATATTTTAAATTATACACTTAAGTAGTCGTAGGTCATATCCACATGTAATGACTATAAACTTTGTTGTTTTCTGTTTTAAATATATTTTTCCAAACAGTATTTCAAATATTGCTACATAGCTAACAGAGGTATTTTTATTTAACCAGAGTAAACTTCAAACTGAAATTACAAGACTTACCTTGAGTAGTTTTGGTCCATCATATGCAAAGAACAGCTTCTCTCTGCCATCTGACCATAACACTGGTGGAAAAGATCCAAGTTGTTTGTTTTCACAGCATACAGTAGCATGAGGACAAGCCTGGCATGGTCAACAACACTCAACCAGAACATTGCAGTTTTTCCTAGTTCCCCATGTCGCACGGAATCTTCAAAGCTGATGTACTGATCAATGAAATCTGTTACAGACTGGTCGTCAAGCAAACTGTTCAGTGTGTCACGGCTTGAAATTGTAACCAGTTTCATTAAGAGAGTTGGGTTCAATTCACTTTCCATGTTTTCAGCAAAGCGTTCGAACAGTAACCTCTCCATTGCCTCTGTAACGGTCTTCAGGCAGAACAGAGCCTTTGCGTATGCCTTCCCGCTCAAAACATTTTGTATGCAACCACTTGTTACTAATCCAGCCTCGATCAGTATCTCTCCATACCCTGACCCGGCACACTTGTTCTTGGTGACCATGCCAATGTAGTTCATGGCGGTGTGGAAGGCTCCTGGCGTGATCACATGGTATTTGTACCGTTCTGGATACTTCCATATCAAAGGGAGTGCCTTCATGCATCCTCCTAGGTCGAACGTTGAAAGAACATACTTCTGTCCAACTCTTTGGTAGCCTGCTCCGACTGTTCAAGAAGAGCTTCAATGACAGCGTAGTCTGTAAATGGCTGATCAATGGGTGTAAAGTAGTCAATGGTAGACTTCCGTGAAGGCTGCAATCCAGTACTCGAAATGAATCCACCAAATCCTGGACTGACTGCTCATCTGCACTGCTTCCAACAACCCTGGATAAAAACCAAATTCCTGTATTCCAGAAGGGCTTTTAGGTACATGTCATGGTTCTCATGTGGTGTTGTGAACACAGCTTCCCTTGGAAATGTTGGTCCGCACCGTTTGGTCAATGCAGTGGGTGGTAGACATTCTTGTTCATCAACCTTTAGAGACCGAGCCTTTGTGCGCTGGTAGACCCCGAGAGTGCGCTCAGAACTTGTAGCACAATATCCAGGCTTCAATTCTTGGATCATAATGCCTGCAGTACTATTTACCACATTGGAACCATGGATATTTGTGGTTATCTTATTCAGCTTGTCCCATTCAACATGGAAGACTTCATTTCCAGGGCCCGTCACAATAAGTGGTGTGAGTTTGGATGAAGAATCATTCAGTGCTTTAGCTAGGGATGTCTCAAGCTCTAAACTATAATCATATGATTCACTGTGACCCAACCGACTTAACATGGTAGTGAGGATCTTGCTTCGATAGAGATGTCGTACTGTTGTGCTCAGCAAAATATGCTTCGGCATCTTCCATTCGCCATTCGTAACAGCGCGGCAAATGTCCTGAAATAAAACAAATAATTTGTTATTAAAAATTACTTTGAGAATGATATTTAACTTGTTTCGTATACATGAGGCTTGATACTAGTCAAGGGTTTGAATCTTCTTGTTGGGCTTTTTTTGGAATCTCAAATGGTCACCAGTACTGTTTTAATTTTCTTAAAATTATTTTTTAATATTATTAAACAGACTTCAAATTAATGCTCATGAATCAACTCGAACATTACATTTAAAAGGTGTCTCCCCTGTTTGTACTCTCATTTTTTTTGGTTTGAAGTTCCTATAGAACTTTACTACATGCAATATTACAATTCAAGGCAAGAGCAATGATTTTCCCTTTTCTACATATTTGAACTTAAAGGAAACTATAACAGGTATCAGTTTGGTTGCTGTAACTGAATGGTTTGGCCCTGGTATGTTATTGCTTGCCTGTCTATTGCTATTATGAAGTCAAAATAAAAATGAAATTGTTAAAAATAAATTTAATTTAATTCATATTTATTGACACTGTCCTTTATTGGTATGCTGGAAAAAATACCTGAGCTATTGATAGGACGATTCGTCTTGTCTTTTCAGTCCCCGCAGAATCTCCACATACGAGTTGTGTCAGAAATGTTTGAAGTGCATCTGGGACCAATTCCTCCGGAGGAAAAGCGTCAAGGTCATCGGCAGTGGGTGGCCATGGCAGCGGTTTTGACACCGTATATGCCTGTTTCACACTTTTCTGAGATAAGTAGCTACTTCCTCTTTAACTGAACTTGATCCCAACTTGAAACCACTGGCAATTGCTTCTGGCACAGTCATGTCGGCACTAAATACCACACTATGCATAATGCAACCAGCACCTTTCTGTTTAGTGAAAGCAATTTTTTGTCCAATAGGATCCGACTGCAACCACACTTTCAAGGTTCTATTTGTTGTAATTTATATTGGGGAAGCCATTGTTATGAATTTCGGTTATGTACAAGTCCTAACCGAGGCTAGAGGAATTACTTCCTTTTGTACAACCACTTTTTTGAAATCATATCACGTACCGACTGTTGGGCAAGGTTTTCTGACGTGTGGGAATTTTTAACTGAACCCCATACTTTGGCGCTTAGAAAGGTTAAACACTTTCAATTCAAAATCCTTCCGACATGAAAGTATGAAACATTGCTCTCTCTGGCCACCAGGTCTTTCACCTTGTACTAATCGATATAAGGCAAAATCGCCCACCTCAAAAGCCTGCGACTCAATTTGTTGCCATGTTGTGTTTGTGAATTGAACACACCGCTCTGTATTTGCATGTTTCTTTGGTTTCACTTCCAACTTTTTACAGAAGATGCATTCTGGTGGAAACTGATTAATACAGTAGTGGAGTATGTGCAGAGTAGTTTTACTTCTAAAAGCAAAAAAAAAAAATAGGAATTTAGGGTTTTATTTTGGTATAAAATAGCAATAATATGTAAATTATCTTTTATTCTTTTATATAAGTCTAATACTAACACCTCAGGAAAAGAAACCTACAATATTTATATTTGTACAGTTAAAGAAAAAGTTATTGACATTACACATTTGAAAAACACAGACCTTCTGGATCATTCTTGTGTTGTTTCATATACGGTACAATAATGCATCTTCATTTAAGGTCCCATTCTGACTAAGCCAAATGAAGTGTCTGAAATAAAGTAATTCTGACAGAATGGTTTTCAAGTATGTCAAATATATTTTATACAGTAAATATTTGTATAAATTCAATTTAAAATACTGTTACATTAAAATATATAAAGAATATGAAATGTCCCACATAAATAGTTTTATCATTACCTACATGTACATGCATTGATAAATATAAATGATTATATATGTTATATTCAAATAACTTCTATGTTGTAAATGCAATTATTCTATACTTGTTAATAATAATTATCAATGTTTAGGGGGTAATCTAATTTAATAAAATAACAAGGTACACAACATACCTTCTAAACAGATGAGAATAAATTATAATGCATTTATGGCACGTACCATGTCAACATGGTGGTGCATTTGGGACTCTTCAGCCACTTGTCAGATTAATTATCAGTATGAATAGCTATCCTCAATCATTGCCTGAAAACAAAAAAAAACATGTAAACATTGACATGATATGTCTTCAAACCCCTTCAGATTGTTAAAGAGGGCAAAAAACAAATTATCCGGATATTGTATGCATCCGACTACTACTCAAGTTTTTTAAGAAAATTAAACAAGGATCCTCTTAGAGAATGTCCATATTTTTACAAAAATGATTATTTATAATACATCATAGCTATAAACATTAATACTCAAATATTTTTACAAATTTGCAGCATTTCAACCGCTCAAAAGCTTTTGTTTATGTGAAGTTCTGGTGCATTTCTTTCTACATTAAAATCTGACATTTTATATTAATAAATTATAAGAAATTCTTTGAGAATTAAAGATTAAATACTGGGCTTTTAATGTTTCATACCTTCTGGTACAATCTACTCTAAAAATCTGTGCAAATTCGTCGGTAAACTTCGTGTGTTCTTCAATGACATTGGAAACTTTCAGATGATTTCATGGCTTAATTATATCAAAGGGGAGTAACTGCGTAATTTGTGAATCTACCTTCCATCTATAAAAATGGCTTTGACTTACTTTTATATCGAGACAATACTAAAAGAGAAATACAATGACAACATACATGTTTTGTAGTTATAATAAAACTCTTATATATATAGAAATAAATTATTATATATACATCATGTATTATTCAGGTAATTTTCGGGTATTTTCAGGTAATTACCCGACTTATATTGAGAGTCCCTTAAATTCATATTTCCTTTCATATCTGAACTTTATGTTTTTCTTTGTACTTGGTCAACATATATCTGTAAATAAATGTGAAAAAATATAGTATAAGAGGTAAAATAAGTTTCTGAGCCGAATTGGAAGCAGCCAGATGCCAAAAAAGACACGTTTTTACCCCCTTTTTGGCATATTTTAAGGCATTTTTCAAAAAGTTACGCTTTTTATAGTGAAACTTTGCTTATATATCCGAAATTCTACGCGGTTCCGATCATTTTGATAAAAAAATGAATTCAAACGGTGAAAAAAGAGTGTTGTATTTGTATTTTAAGCAAAAATGGTATTTTCTTTAATTTTTGGCGGCCATCTTGGCGGCCATCTTGAATTTGGACAACTTGGGAACCCTTGATTTTCTGGGAACATAGATTTTTTTCAAATTTAGACATTCAAGAACATAATAAGCCTGGTTTAAAAAAACCTTCCTGACATGCATCGTAGGCCTTCGTTCCTACTAAGCTACACATTCAGTTAATAAAGTGACAAAATAACTTTGAATTGGCCTGCTGTTATACAAATACAACGAATCTTTATTTTTCATTTGCATCAGAAATCTTAAATAGTATTACTTTAAGTTACATAAATATAAACATTGATCGGTAAGTTAACATACGCTTATTTTATGTACATTGATTTTAAATCACTCAAAATCTCTATTTACGTAATTTCAAATTTGAAATAGCTTTTAAAGTGCATTATTGCATGATAGCGATAAAGACACAGGGAAAGTACGTATTTTTTTGTAATTCAATATCTGAAATATTTCTGTTCAATTCAAATACTGCAATGCTCATCATTATTGTATTATATACAATGTAAAAAATGTTTGTCAAGAACGAAATGTGTTATGTTATAGGTGTTTAGGCCTTTCGACTGTTCAGGTCAGCCCTTAAATAATTTTGCTTCTGTTTATCTCTTTTTAAAACATCAATGCATACATCATAGAATGATAAACAAATATAGCTCTCTGAGTGTCAATTATTCAATTTTCTTGGCATAAGATACAAAAATACTGAATTATGTAATATATAGATATATACATGTGCATGTACAAGTATTGAACTTTGTTCTACCTTGCATATATCGTATTATGTAATTTATGAAATTGTAATTTTTTAAGTCGCCAGAAATTCTCTACTGTTAAGTTAAAAAATTAAATGATCTTTGAATGAAGATTAGTTAGATATATATTTTTAGGTGACTGCAGATTAAATCAAATTAATGATTACAATTGTAAATTACTGTTTATATACTGTTTACACTGCCATTGTGATGATATTTGATTTTGAAATTCAGATATTACAATATTTTGTGTATTAATGTATTTAGCTATGTAAGATGATGGACATATCATGATTTTTTTCTTAAGGAAGTATTATTATAATATAAAATTCACCTTGTAAGTTGGGCATACTATGAACTTCTTCAAGGGCAAATCTTACTTATCTTTATAAAACATTTTAGGTCCAAAATAAAAGTTGTCAGGCAAATGCCTTCTTATAGTGATTCTTCTTAATATTATTTCAATTCAATTCCTTGTCGTTTTATAAATTGACTAAAAGACAAAGTCAGATATCTGCCATTTATAGCATTTGTAATCAATTGTCACTGTAACCTTTGATATTATTGTAAGGATATAATGTATTTGTATTAGGAGATAACATATCAGGTCGATCGCTATATTGTCCTCCCAATCTTAGTAATCAGATCTCTCATTTTCATGTAATACAATAAATACAGGATATTGTCAGAACAGTGTTCATTAATAACTCAAACAGTGTACAATTGCATGAGCATACAATCCAACATGTACATTTATAACTTAAAGATAAATCACCAATTTCACTAAAGTGACTTACTTCGCATGATTTTATTACTTTTGTTGGTTTAAATATTACACTGTAAGACATAGATTAAAAGTAGTACACTGTAAAACAGAGATTCAAAGTAAAACACTGTAATAGAAATATTAAAATATTTCACTGTAAGACGGAGGTAAAAAGCATTATACTGCAAGGCAGAGATTATTAAAGTATCAAACTTCAAGACAGATATTAAATATAGTACACTGTAAAACAAAGATTTAAAGTAAAACACTGTTACAGTAATAGAAATATTAAAATATTACACTGTAAGACAGAGGTGAAAAGCATTGTATTGCAGGACATAGATTAGAAGTATTACACTCTAAGGCAGAAATTAAAAGTATTACACTTCAAGACAGAGATTAAAAGTATTACTCTTCAAGACAGATTTAAAGATATTACACTGTAAGACAGAGGTTAAGATTATTACACTACAAGACAGAGATTAAAGGTATTACACTGTAAGACAGATAATTAATGCATAACACTATAAGACACACATTAATTTATCGCCTTTGTCTTGAAACACAAGGACCACGTTATTCCGGGCATGACAACATATGATTTTTGGCACAACAACACGAAAAGGAAGTGATTTTCTTAAAGGTGATATCGTGATAATAGGTGATAAAGTGTGTTCCCGGTTTTATGTAAGCCCTAGTTATTAAAATCTTTTTTGTTATTTCAAACTAACAGTTTCAAATTGAATGTGGTTTCGCCTTTTTCGATACCACATAAAGTGTATGAAACGGGTTAATGTGTCAAAATACAGCCCGATTACTAAACATTACTAAAGTTATTTTTAGCAGAATATAATGTGATCTGCATTCTGGCATAGATTTGCTGCATCTTTCCTAAATTGTTTGACAAAAATGCATTAATCAGTATCAAGGAAGGTTTACCGTTGCATCATTTTGACACACGCATAGGAAACGGTGTATTCATATTTGCAAAATATGCATTCCGCTCGAAAATTTAGATTGATAAAATGTCGAGATATTATACGGATATTTTCTTACACACGTCTATATTAACTTATATTAAGTTGTTCAAATAACAAACAAAAAAACACAAAAAACACAAACAAAAACAAAACAGTTTTTTTTAAGTAAATAAAGTAACTTATCAGATCAAGTAAGAAAATGGTATTTACTAAGAAAATCATTTTCAGCTCTTTTATATCTACGAGGTTTTTCAATGCCATGTTATATTTATTAACTATTAAAAATATATTTCAGTGATAAATTTAAAATATTTTTTATGTTGGAAATTGTCCTACGGTTCAATGCCTTGTGGCAGTTCAAAACTTTTATTTGAACAATTTTCTCTTTATTTCACATTTATAGCATTTTCGTAAAATTGGTTTCATACACAGTCATCCGTCACGAAACTGAATTAGCTTTATCTCAATGTATATGGGTAAAAACGTAAAATTAAATTGGAAGTAAAATAAGATACGCATTAATTAAAAAAAACCTATTTGTCCGTTGTACGGCAAAGGGAAGGTTAAGGTCACATTCATTTCTATTCTTTTTTAAAAAAAATTAATTCATACAGTCCATCACGGAACCCTGATCCTTTTCAACCTATTACATATCCTTACTGCTGTTTTCCATTGGTCATTCATGGTAAAAAAAACAACAGATATAACGTTTTGAATTGAGTTCGTACAGTAATTTAATTTTTATAAAATCTTTCACAATTCATAATCTATCTTAATAAGAATATTTGGTTATTGCCCATTTTTCTGTTTATCAAAACTGGATAGTTTCAAAAACTGAAAATATACCATAGTCAATTGCAATACAATTTAGCATGGTTCATGTCATGGTTGATGAACTTGCAGGTAAGTAATTGTCAGTAACATATCCTATATGAGATAATACTGCGTCATATGCGACTGGAAATTTTGGTTACATTGTTTTATCTCCTATCTCGTATATCATTTTGAAGAGATATATGTAACGTAATTTGAATCTTGAAATCTTGAAAAACTAGAAAAATACACCCCAAATAATAAAAGGACTTTGCTGAATTTTTGTTAAATCGCCATTTCATGTGTTGTTTTTTAGTCTATTATTTCGGTTTAGGTTGATTCAGTACTCCATGTAAATGACATGTAGCTACATAAAAGAGAGTCAGTACAGCTTATTGAAAACATAGTTTTGACTCTATACGAAATGCGGTTAATTTTGGGTGCAACAATTTATTCGATGCAGAGCGTTGCAGTTCATACAATGGCTCAAAATCGGAAATTTTCACTAGTAAGTGGTCGCATATCTGAAAACTGTTCAATAGAATATAAGGTTAGAA